CGTCGGGAGGAAACGCCGCAATGTCATAATAGGCTAGTTGACCCTTTTTGGAAAAAGGTTTTAAATGGTTAATAAATGTTCTATTAGACCGAAAAAAAATGTATTGTATTTTTTTGAGACCTAAAAAGCTACAAATCTTTAATTTTAAAATAGATTTTTCATGGACATACAAAAACGCTATCGGCCATTTTAGTCTATAGATTATCTATGCTATGACCTTAACTGCAGTAAACACATAGAGAAAGGTAAATAAACAAAAACTCGTAAGAAAATAACTGACTTTATAATAAACAAAAGATGATTTCTAATAAATACCCCGAAAAATAAAGTAATTATCATTATTGTATTGTACGAGAATATAAAAACACATCCTTGAAGATTCCAGGAAAGTTGTGAATTAAAAGTGCCGAAAGAAATTAACCTTCGCAACTTTATTACACTTATTCATATGTTGTATCAGTTTTATGTTTATTACTACAATTGTAATACTAAATACACTGTACTTACATAGATGCCTTGTCGTTTCTCTGCTCCGCAGAGCAGAAATCGGGGTTTAGTGAAATAAATTCACCAACCATGAATGCGTCAATTCTTAGCAGAATTGTGCTTTCTGTTTTCACAAAGCCGGCATCCATAATTAGTTTTTTCAAAAAAATCAGTAAACGGAAACTTTTCTAAAGTTAAAGTGTTTTTATGATAAATTTAGTCAGACGAAAGAATCCACCCACAGTAACACGCGAATGACATTTAGTTGTTTACCATATGAGACGTCACAATCATGGCGGATGTGGCGAACAGCATTTTTAGTGTTTAAAAAATATAGACTAAAAAATATTTTTTAAAATTAAATTTCTACAGCAATCTTCTGCTTTTATGAAGTGAAATTGATATATTTAGGTTCCTTAGACCAAATACTTTATGAAATAAACATTTATTTAATACAATTCGACATGAGTCAACTAGCCTATTGCGGCGCCCCGGACGACACGGCCCAGCACACCTTATTGGAGTGCCCGGCCTGGCGACACCAGTGCCGCGAGCTCATTGCGGCGCTGGGATGCGGAGTCCTCCCGCTGCGGAGCATGGCCTCCACCATGCTCCGCAGCGAGAGGGCGTGGGAGGAGGCTGAGAGGGAGCGGGAGGATGATCCCCTGGCCGCCCCCTCTCGCCAAAGAAGGACGGATAGGAGAGGACAGCGGCGCGCCCTGGCTGCGCCCGTCCCATGACCCTACCCGGGAGTCCCACGCTGACATTTGTGGCGTCAGCTGTGCCGGCCACCGACGGACCCCGTTAAGGCAGCCCCCCCTTGTAGTTCTGTCCTGCAAAGAGGGGGGCGGCGGAGGGAACTACACGGGCACGCCCAAGTAGCCCTCCGCAGCGGACGGGGGGCGGTCCGGTGGGCACTAGGCCGCGTACTCAGCCCCCATGCGCGGGCCATCCTGCGCACGTCTCCCGGGGTTAAGGCTAATAAAAATTATAATCATTAAAATTAAAATTTATGTCAATATTAATTACAATTCCCAATTTTAGTTCAAATAAAATATTTTAAGTCAATTTACTATGAGATACCTATAATAACAATTATTTTATTACGATAATTCTAGAGTATTATTTAATTCAATGTCAATATTAATTACGATTCCTAATTTCAATTCAAAAATAATATTCATGTCAATATATTATAATATAGTATATCCAAAATAATTTTAATCTAAAAGCGACATAAATTTAAATATTCAACTTATTTTAAAAAAAATCTTCTACAGAATGAAAGCATTTATCTAATAGCCAATTTTTAAATACTTTTCTGAACCTGTCGTAGGGCAGTTGCTTAATTTTGTCAGGTATTTTATTATATATTTTTATAGCCATTGCATAACCATTTTTATTGAAACGAGATGTTTTGGGATTGGTGCTCAATATAAGTTTATTTAAATTTCTAAAATTTCTGCTTGTATTATCTTTAAGTTGCTTTTAGTGAGCTACTTGACAACACTACTTTTCCACTTGAAACTGTTGAATGCCTCTTAATATTATAACAAAGTTTGTATATTTCTGACTCAATCACGCAATTATGGCGAAGGCGAATAAACGAAATTGGATAACATTCGATATATATCATAAGTTTATTACCTTTTTTTTATAGATAGGACCGACTAATGACTCAACCCCACCTGATGTTAAGTGATGGTGAAGTCCAGACGTGAAGATAGCTGGTACAGCAGTTTTACCTGCCACACCAGCCATCCTCACCTTACCGGCCTGCATGTTGCTTGTTCAAGCCTCTTTTAAAAGGTCCCAGGTTGTAATTGGATTGGAAAAAAATAAATAAATAAATAAAAATTAAATAATAAGTATTATATTCCTGTAGGTTCCCAAGACTTTAAGAATAACATTCAAGGATGAGTAGAATATGGATGATGACAGGGTATGGTAAACAAATTTCTATTTAGTCTGTCAGTTACATTATCAAAAAATAATGGACACGTATTTTTTTCCTTTTGTCAATCACCCAAAAAATTACAAGGATAAAGCACGTTAAAATTTGGGAGAGGAGGCTTGTGACGTCACTTTTTAGTAAAAACTTGACGCAACATTTTAAATCAATATAGGTATCTGTAACGTTTTGATTATGTAAAAAATGAAAAAATATGGATGCGTTAATAATTTTCATACAGAAAAAAAAAGTCATCATCTCTATTGTTTTAGAATAGGACGAGGTGAGAAGTCTAATAGGTATAACTTCACAGTCGGTTATGAAGCCCTCCTCCGCTCATTCGCTTCGCCTTATGGTGTAACAAAAAGAAATAACGACGAAAGAAAAGATATAGCGGCATTTTTTTTAATTGAACCATTGTACTAGGATGCCATAAAGGCAGTAGAGTATTTAATGTGGACCTAATTCTCCGGTGGCGCCACTTATCTCGGTGTATTTTTTACGAGGCGCGCAGTGTTATAGCGATTGGGGAAAAGCGGGGGCTTTTCATTCATCGTCCGAACTGAAATTAGTGATGTGCTTACAATTGATGGTGGAGAAATGTTTTAACGCGAAACTCAAGTCAAAAGCTTTGTTCTAATGTTTAATATCTTATTTGATATTTATAGTAAACCGAGTTAGTCAAGACTGTTTTATTGTTTTGTGGAACTGTTCGAATTCGGGCAGTTAGCACTCGTGCTAATAGTATCCTGAAAACTTAAAGGACCTAAACAATAATCGGTATTAAAGAATCTTTATAAAAGATAAGATTTTTTCTACAACACAATAGACATTTGTCAATGGTAGTTGATTACTGGGTATTATCATAGTAATTATTATTTGTCCTTATCCGATGGGAGATACCATTTATTAGGGAAGAGAAGGGGAAGATATCAGCCAAATCACTAGACACAATACTGCTTCGTAATAATTCGGGTGATTCATTCGATAAACAATCTATTTCACTCAAAAGCTATTTCACTGCTAAATCACTCCTATGCCCGATGTTATGCTCTAATTTTGGCTTAGCGATATTTATAGCGTCACAAATTTAATCATCTTGGAAAAACAATCGATATCTTCCTTCCACGGTGCATCCCTATACTCTTCCCGATCACTACTAGCGTCTGTGACCGACATAACTCGACCTTACTATAGATAAAGACGGGAATACGCATAATAACAGTGTATGACAAGGACAACCGACACAAGTAGGTCACGGGATAAGAGGCGTCTCAGAACCTATGCTTATTTTCAGCGCTGTAACGCTAGAAATTCATGGAGACGAGAAATGGGTAGCTGAGATCGCCAGTTTATTTATAGAACATAAACTTCTTTTGTATTAGTCCAGGCCAATTAATGTAGTACATACATACTTTGTTGTTTGTGGGGATTTTTACGTGTGTTTATTTTGATAATATAAATTGTTGAGGCAGAATGAGTGGGTTGTTTGGTTGAACCATGAAATCATAGAGTTATTTCTAAAGACAGCGTTTAAATTGTTTAGGTTTTCCATGATATGTGTTACATTTTTGAGGATATTCTAGGTAAAGATACATATTCGGATGGTTGTGTCTGCTTAGCATGTAGGTAATAATTTAATTTTATAAAGTCATAGTAAATAGATACCTACTTCAAAAGAGAATATTTGGAGTTAGTATCAAAAATTAGCACAAAAAGAACTGCATTAGTTACTTTATGTTTTTGTAAAATGCCCCATAAAAGGAATTTGTTTTTTAGTTTTTTTTTGCTGTTCAAATTATTCAAGCTTGGTTAAACCATTTGAATAATTTGCTGTTTTTTAACTATAATTGAAGACCTTATTATTTGTTTCTAACTAATCAGGTTATGATAATTTTTATTATAAAATGATGATGAAATGTAATTACAAATATTTAGTCTGTGTGTATAACCGAAATTAGGTAATTAATTAAGGAAGGAGGCGGGAAAGAAAATTATTGAATTACCTACCGATTCTTACTAAGTCGTTTCCGCGGATGTTGGAGAAGCAATTACTAAAAATAAAAAGGAAACCCATGGAAGTACCAAGATGCAAGAGGGATATACTTAAATAACCATTTACTAATAGTGGGACCAATAATAACCGAGTTTAACTTTGGAATGACGGCATAAACCATTCCTCAACTAATAAATGATCTTTCGATCTGAAGCCTCAACACCTGAGCTTCAGATAGACGGCAGTTGGTATGGTACTTACGAGTTCTACCTCCAACTGCAGATCGACCACAATTAAAATTTAATTTCAGAGTATTGCACCTTAAATAGTGAAACTTCATGTATTGTCTGTTTTTATTCATGATAAAGGAAAAGTGTTGATGTTCAGTTCAAATTTTGATCTGACTACAAGTTCCTTATTTTTCGATACCTTCACCGATAAAGAATTACTGTTCGATTCCCAATAATCGAACAGACAGCCACAACAGTCATTTCTAATCGAAGATCGACCACGATCACTGTGTTAAGCGAGCGACTGATTAATTTAATCACCGCACGGTATTCTCAGGACAGTTTTAGCGCTACAGCGGCTTTGTGGTGCGAGCACGCATGCGTATACACAGAGGCGATCGATTCCTCGGGCGCAGCGCTCAGTGCCAGTGCTCGCGAGTCCGCCGCGCAGTCCGCACGATGCGTTCCCAGTGACGCGGCAATTAGCCAAGCTGTATCTCCGCGAGTACGCCGGCGAGGAGGAGCGGCCGCCGTGCCGGGAGGAGTGGCGGCGTCAGGACTGGGGCGGCGGGACGCGCGGGCGTCTGCCGCAGGTGTGTTGATTACCAGGAAGTTACGTTGCCATGATTGGCCATGGTCATTGTGCTGCAATCCTGAAATGATGTAGTCTTGGTATCCGCTGAAGAGATGCAATGTTCGCAGTGACATTATCAGATGGGTGGCCAAAAAGTTGTTGCTAGCTTTTCCATTCTCTCCAGCGTGTCCACAATGGACTGGTGGTTAAGTGGCAGGACTAGGGCGGTGGGACGCGCGAGCGTCTGCCGCAGGTATTAACGTAGAACAGTTACGTTACCATGATTTGCATTGTGCTGTAACGGTGTAGTCTTCGTCTCTATTGAGAAGGTGCAGCTGTTGCAGTGACATAGAAATGGGTGGCCAAAATGCTGTGTCTTCCTTTTCCAATTACCGCGCTGGTTTATCGGTGAGATGCGCGGGCGACTGCGGGAAGGTGCGTTGGAGAGAAGTTTGCGTTATGTTACCATGATTGGCCATTGTGTTGCAATGATGTAGTGTGAGTATGTCTGCTGCTGTAAAGATGTAGGTTCGTACGTTCGGTCTGGTCTTGATCGTGGATGCATGGTGTCTTCGTTTCTGTTGAGGAGGATTAGCCTATTATCTTACATCCATTCTGCGATCGTGGAAGTTAACCAAAAAGTTGTCTCTAGGTTTCTCATGCCTTCCACCCAAACGTCGTTAGTACCACAGGTTAGTACCAACGTATCCAAAATGAAACCACGCGCCGGTTTATGGTCCGTGAGTGAAAGCGCAGCATGAGAACAGTTTGCGTTTCGTGATTGTCCATTATGCTGCAATGATGTAGTCTTCGCCTTCTTCTGAGGAGGTGCAGCATTTTACAGTGTCATTGTCAGATGGGTGGCCAAAAATTCGTTTATAGCATTTCCGTGTTGTCCATCCGAACGTCGTTAGCACCAACTCAAAGAGCCTGTGTAGTGGTTTATGGTCCTTGAGTGGCTGGAAGACTGGGGTGGCAGGATTTGAGGGAATCTGCTGCACGTATCAACGTTGATTATGAGAAAAGTTTTCGTTACGTTACACGATTGGCCATCGTGCTGTAATGATGTAATCTTCGTTTCTGCTGAGGATGTACAGCGTTTGCAGTGTCATAGCCGGATGGGTTACCAAAAAATTGTTTCTATCATTTCCGTGTTGCCAATCCGAATGTCATTAGCACCAACTCAAAGACCCTGTATAGTGGTTTATGGTCCTTGAGTGGCTGCAAGACTGGGGTGGCAGGATGCGAGGGCATCTGCTGCACGTATCAACGTTGATTATGAGAAAAATTCCGTCTGAAAGTCGTTAGCACCAACTCAAAGAGTCTGTGAAGTAATTTATGGTCCTTGAGTGGCTGCAGGACTGGGGTGACTGGGGTGGCTGGATGCGGTCGTGTGTTGCACGTATCAACGTTGATTACTAGAAAAGTTTGCGTTAAGTTACATGATTGGCCATTGTGCTGCAATGATGTAGTCTTCCAGCTCTGCTGAGGATGGGTAGCGTATTATCTTGCAATTGTGAAAGATAAGAGGAACTTCTTGCAGCGCGGTCGCTCTGCAATCATAGATGTTATACAACATCGCAGTGGTCAGAGATTGGATGGGTACTCTAATCAAAATTTAGAATTATAACTTCAAATGATACTATCGCTAAAAATGACCTAGCTGTCTCTATAACGTTGATGTTATTGATGTTTGGCCATCATCCTTTAATTATGTAAAGCCTCGAAATCTGATGCCGCGTTAAATCTGCGATGGTAGATTTTAACACCTCTACTCAACAATAACTATAGTCGAATCAAATGACTCCAGTTACCGAGCGCTCCACGAACAAGGGGATAGGGTAAGCAATTGTCGGGTTGACATCAGGTTGTCTAGGTCGCAGTGTCACTACATCGCATTATAATGAGATCGCATAATGACTGGATATTTATTGACTACATCGCAAAATTACTAGATCTTTAATTGACCACATCGCATTATGACTAGATCGCAAAATGACTAGACCTTTAATCAACTACATCGCATAATAACTAGATCGCAAAATGCCTACATCTTTATTAGACCACATCTCGTAAGGGGCCGTCCATTAAGCACGTGATGTTATTTTTGCATTTTTACTCTCTCTCTCTCTCTCTCTCTCTCTCTCTCTCTCTCCTCTCTCCACTCCCTCCTCCCCCTTGGTGGTACATGGTGAGGTTTAAGACTAAACCCTCCCCCAGGACCCTACATCACATGTATTTTTAGTACCTATAAAGAATCTATGCGCCATGATCACGGAGTCTCCGTGATCATAGCGCTTGCAACAGTGCCGAAATATCGGAAACTCGCCAAAAACAAGGTACATGGTAACAATCCCGTAAATAACTTATATTACTATAATGTTAGTGACCATGAAAGTTTAATACAATATATTATAAAGAATCTTATTTTTTTTTTCAATATTTATTAATACCATGTTTACAAGTATCATCTCATTTTATTATAGAAAATTAAAGACTACAATAATAACGCTTAGAGGTAGACAGGAAGTTTGCAGGTTGTTTTTGACTGACATAAAAATAATGAAAGAAATACAAAACATTTTTTTGTACTAATACATGAACATTATTTATTGTACAGTAACATCGGACCACGGAAATACAAGTGATATACTACTACACCCCCCTTGTGATATTTCGTGATTTTTTATGAAGGGGGGGGGGGGGAGGCTTTCGAGCCTCACGTGATTAATGGACAGCCTCTAATGACTAGACAGTTTTTTAGTATGTTTTTTGTAACTTAAATGTATCAATGGTGGCTGCTTACCATTAGGCGGTTTATACAAATTTCATAGAGTCCTTTAGTGAGATTATAAAGTTACTGTTTCCATAAGATAAGAGAACAGCTAACGGTAAGCCAGGATATGAAAGCAGAGCCTCTTTAGAGAGGTACACAGGTTTTTTTTTTAATTATTACCCTATGACAAATGCGTGGAGTTAAGAATGAATATATGGCATATTTAATTATATTTAACCAGTACCTAGGCTGGAGTAGTTGATGTCATGGAGTAAAACGAAATTCACATTATGAAGTATTTTTTTGTCTTGGAGGACTTTGGGAAATCATTTTGGAGTACTATAAGAAAAACTCACCGCAACAGATTTTGCGCTTGAATTTGAAGCTCGTCAGGTTAAGCAACCTGCATCTGCTAGAAGACTGCAGTCAAATAACAGACCAATTCTAGTTTTTTTTATCAACTAATATACCACTGAAATACTGTGTTTAAATTCAAGCATATCTGCTGATTTTATATTAAAAAAAATAACGCTCATGCTCAGTCATTGAAAAGCACAGTGCCGTCTTTGACCTATTGGAGGCCCTGGGCATATTAGGATAATGGGGCCACTATGACCCCCGTTTGGTGATCTAACAGGAACTATGGACCCTGTATTTGATCTGAGGTGGTGGCCTGGGCACTTGCCCAAAGTGCCCACTGAGAAAGGGGGGACTGGAAAAGCAAGAAGCGCAATCATTACATATCACCCTACGGCTGTCGTTAACAAGATCTATGTAACTTAGGTTCATACACATTTTGTTATCTTAACAAAACTTGCTGTCTCTCTATATTCAAGTGTTGTTGAAGAAACTGAAAAGTTCTTCCACTGATTCTTGTAACTGTTATTAAAATTATCAAAAGTTAGTTAACATTTGCATTTGTTAACAAAACAACGAGTTATGAGGGACTCGATGGCGCAGGTGGTTAGCGTGTTCGGCTGCGATCGTTGAAGTTAAGCAACTTTCGCAGTGGTCGGTCATTGGATGGGTGACCAAAAATCTTATATCTCGAGTTCTTCCGTGCTCCAGAAGGCATGTTAAGCCGTTGGTCACGGCTGCATCTGCAGTCGTTAGCACCCGCCAATCCGCACTGGGCCCGCATGGTGAGTCATGGCCTAATCTCCCTATTCCATCCATAGGGAAGGCCTGTGCCCCAGCAGTGGGGACTTTAATAGGCTGATGATGATGATGATGAACGAGTTATGAGTGTCGAGAAACAGTACAGTTATTATAGCCGAAGACAGCACTTACCTAAATGAGAATTGGGTCACTCCTAGAAAAGATGCTGTGAGATAGCATGCGCTTAACGATTAGATCGCGAGAGCTATCACGATTACAAAGTCTAATTTGCAAAATGGCTATGAATGCAATCCACCTAAAATGCAAAATGACCAAAATCTGTACACCTAAACAGCAAAAAGTGCAAATGGTTACAAAACCTAATTTTCAGAACGTCTATGGATGAACACAGTGTACGGACCGTCTCATACTCTTAACATTTTCATCGTTAGGTTGATCAAAGTTCATCAGATCAGATTGGCGCAACTTCTCACTCGCAATGACGATCACTTTGCTAAAGCTTTTGACATTTATTGTTCATATTAAGTCACCACAAAGTTGTGAGTATTTTTTAAAATAGGTTAAATTGTTTTAATATCATTTTGGCCTATTGTAACCAAGTTATGGAAGAGCGATGCATCCTAAAACAAGCAATTTTACTGCTTAAGAGGATGTACGAACCTCTTATATTGTAGTAGGCTAAGTTATTGAAAAACAATTTAAGGGCATTTATGTGAAAAAGCTAAAGAAACTAGGGGTGGACGATTTTAGAATAACGATGCGCGATAACGATACCGGGTTTGGATGCGCGCATCCGATGCGACTGGATGCCGTTATTGGATGCCGATGCCAATCTAGTTTTCGTCAACGTTACTATAGCAACGATGCCACAAACTTATCTGTGCTGGTGAAGATGTCGCTAGCGGTGACCAAATATGTCTAAAAATGTCACATTGGTATGGATAAATTGTTGTACGGGTAAATTAAATTAAACTCATAATAAGTAGGTTAACGCGTCAGCAATATGACCCGCTGCGCGACTTATTACTTTATAATTTATTAATATCATTGTTTCGCAATAATAACATATTGAATCTATAATTAGTGTCTATCCGGTAGCCTTACCAACCGCGCGTACTCACTCTTACCTTTTCACCATACGTAAACCATTCTTTCACCATACTTTAACTTTAGTTTCCCTGTTTATAGACTCAGTTATAATAGTGTAAATTATCCCAATAAACTCCCAGTAATTGTTTCCAGTGACTTTCTATTTACCAATCTCTTCTCTAAAGGTGTATAACCCGTACAATTGTAGTTCACATTTTTGCCACCAGCACTTAAAAGTTTGTCATACTTCGATACTGACATTTACTTGGCATAGACGCGATGCCGGCATCGGTGCGCGGATCCGACGCGATTTATCTGATACCGAAGCGCATCGATTTCACAAATATCGAAAAACGCCCATCTCTAAAAGAAACCTTTCCTAAAAATAAAAGTTAGCAAATGGCTGAAAGGTATGGATTACGAAGAGACGGAGTGTTTAGTAAATAATTAGAACACTCTATTGTGTAATCAAATACGGCAGAATTTAGTTATTGTCGGTTTCTGTAGTTTTTATAACTAGTTTATATAAGTAATCATACAACCAATGTGCGCACACCTAAATCGGCTACAGTATTTACGTACATAGAGGGGACCCTGTTGCCTGTAATACAGGTTATCCTACCACTGGCAACAGAAGTCACCTTTAACAATATTTAAGCTCCAATGTACCTCTTGTCACCAATAGGCATGATGACTAATTTTTTTTCTTCGTTTATCAGGTAGATTATCAAAAAGTATTAGTCACGTATTTTTTCTTTTTTCACATAATATAAACATTGCAGAGATAATTTGAAAAGTCGCATGACGTCACGTTTGAGTACACTTTTAAGTGAAAATTCACTCAAAAGTGACGTCACGAGCCCCTACTCCCAAACTTTGACGCGCTATAACTTTTGATTGCCCAAAGAAAAAATACGTGTCCATTATTTTTTGATCATCTAACTGACGGACTAAATAGAATTTCGTTTACTGTACCACGTAATCATCCCTATTTTTGTATTATTAATTTAAAATATTGTAACTTGCTTTAAGTCAATAAACGTTTATTATTATTTCCTCTCCATTGCAGGTGGACCGGAGTCCGTCACGACGCAGCCCCTACCTCACTCGCGATGACGAACCGTCGCCGGCGCCGGACGAGCGCGGCCGGTCGGCCTCCGCCGGCGCGCACCACCGCGCCAGACCCCGGCCCCTCCGCTACCAATCCCTGGAGAGAGACTATGACCGCGCCTACCCCCCACCACCACCAGACGAAGAGTACTACCGCCGCGAACCGCCACCCCTCTTCCTCGGCGAGCTCCAATCCCAGAACTCGGACCTGCAACGCGAGCTGGGCAACCTCAAGAAGGAACTGGAACTGACCAATCAGAAGCTGGGCTCCAGCATGCACAGCATAAAGACCTTCTGGAGCCCGGAGCTGAAGAAGGAGCGCGCGCTCAGGAAGGAGGAGAGCGCCAAGTACAGCCTTATCAACGACCAACTGAAACTGCTCAATCAAGAAAATCAGGTGAGTGATTTTTTCTTTATAGGGTTGAGTACTTCAAAAGGAATAAACGGAATCCTTAAAGGATGACTTTTTGTCCGTCTGTCTTCTGTCAAGGCCCTTTCGTATCGAATTGAAAAAAACAAATCAAATTCTCAAGTTTGCAGTACAGCGAACACATAAAGAGGTTAGAAGGGCCTTGTGGGCGGGGCAGGCGCGCCATGGCTATGTGTGAGCAAATGCTCATAACTTGACCAAAACTTGGTTTTGATTGCGTCGTTGCTCTCGGGTATGAGCACTGTTTGGTCCGATTCTTTGATGTCACGCCGTTCGATTGGCTATTATATATTAGGTGGACGAGTAGTGCGGGCGAGACGGCGACATCGGTTCCCGTAAAACGGTATCTGATTACTCTTCCTACCACTTTCTGCTTACGTTTACGGGAAAAGATAGAACCGTTTATGTATCGTACCCACAAATTTGTACGAAACCCTCGGTGGGCGAGCCCGCCTCGCACTTGTCCGGTTTTTTTTTATACTTATGGATACACTTTTCCAGCCATGTGAGCTTTGAAAGCCTAGCCTGACGGATCGATGTGGTCAGTGAACTTTTTAATGTGGCTTTCGAATTTGAGTGGTTGTAACCATCGGTATAAAAAATTTAGAGAACTAATCCTTCAGCAATTTATCTAAGTGGTTTAGAACAATAATACGGAATATCAATCTCGTCTATTTGTTTTTTATTTTAATTATTGTGCATATTTTTTCATGCCGGCTCCATACTAGTGTAATGATTTCCACGCTATTATTTAATACTTAGCTTGAATTCGCGCCGTGAATTAACATCATCGGTGATGTTTCTGAACTCTAAAGCCACGTTTACGCCTGTTCACGGAGATTCACGACACAAAGAAGAATGTTTATCTATACATATAATAAAATGGTAGGAAAGTCAATACTGTACATTGAATATTTTTTAAAAGAATATATAATTATTGGGGTGTGATCTACAGTCGGTACCGAAGCCAAAAATATAGTCTTTACAATTTTTGTCTGTTTGTCTGTATGTATGTCCGGGATAAACTCAAAAAGTACTGCATGAATTTACTTCAAATTTGGCACGAATATTATTAAGAAGTTGGATGAACATAAAGGCTATATATTATCACGCTATTACGTACGGGGAACGAGCAGTGAACCTTTATTTCTAACTAACTCCACGCGTACAATGTCGCGAGGCGGCCGCTTGTTGTATAATTATTATCAACTCTAAAAAATAAAATCAATATTAATAAAAATATAGACACCAAAGCATCGTAGAACCGGCATATCGATATTACTTACGATTTCCTTTACGACACAACTGCTATCTCAATCGATTATTCAAATGAACGGTACGATATTCTATGATCATCAATGCTTCATTGTAATGAAGAAATCATCAGCTGCCCCGCGTTCCAGATAATTATACAGCCAATTACACTTAAATAACCTTTTAACGAATGACATAGACCTAAAAAATTTAGAGAATAACAAATACTGTTGAACGTCTCTACCGATTTTCGTGAAATTTTATATGCATATTCAGTAGGTCTAAGAATCGGACAACATCTATTTTTCATACCTCTAAATGTTAAGGGTGGTCCAACCTTAAAGTTTTTTGGACATTTTTTTGTTTTTATTTTTTTATGATACATTATACAAAAATACATACAACTTTACTTCTCACCCTTATAACACCAATCCCAATTTTGCATGGCGGTACGAAGTTCGCTGGGACAGCTAGTTAAATATATTTTATTTATCTTTTTTTATTTGTAAAAAGAGTAGTGCGATTGATATTAAGTATTAAAATATAGTTTTGTAACTTATTGAAATTTGGATAGCGATATACCCCATTTTTTATGGTCTTAGTGATTTGTCCTTATTAATTAAACCACGAGGGAGATAATTTCTAGCGACTGGATTGGAAACTGGAATCAATAGAATGTTGCAGACAAAAGGAAATTGAATTTGTTACACAGACACTATATAGGCATTTAAAATTACCCTACTGTACAATTTATTATTCAATACCACTCATGGCACATTGTTAGGGTTGCCAACCCTAATATATAATATAGTATTCTGCTATATTAGGGGATCAAATACTATATTTCTAAAAATATACATATCGAAAATATTATATTTTGCTTATAGCAGACTTTTGCCTGTAAAAGTTTTCTTAAAAATTAAAACTGAAGTATTAAGGTACAGAGCAGTAAAAATATAGGTACTCATAATAAAAATAAAGTAAATATTTTAACCGCATACTATATTTTTCCCCTTTTTTGTCATCTACTAAATTTTCATAGGTAACAGTTTCGAAAATTTGATATATAAAAAAATGGGTGCGTGTACTTATGTACGCGCGTGGGAAGTTATAGTTCTTTGACATCGTTAATAATTTGTTTTTAATTGCATGCAAATAATTACAGTAAAATAATATATAGATAGAATACATAATAATAATAGAATGACTGGAAAAGGATAGTCAACAAAGTGAATAAAGTTCAGTTTAAATTTGAAAAATTAAATAAATAATCAAAATATTCAATTTAAATCACTACTGAATATAATTTATTAGCACATATATAATTCACACTTGTATGAAATTAAAACACATGTTGTGACTATAGAAACTAGAAACATGTGGATAAATATTATAAATATGAAAACAGTGATCAGAGGCGACGAGGCGTGGCAACATGCGCGACTAATAGAGATTCTATTTCTATTTTGTTGGTAGCTTTTTTTCGAGACTTAATGTGCGATTTAGCGGCCAACTTCATGGTGTTACTTTTGCGTTACAGTGATGCGTGCGCATCTTAAAATTTCACTCTCATAATTTTTTCATAACGCACCTATAGAAGTTTAACTTCAAAAAGTTGGTAACCCTACACATGGTAGAAGGGATAGTCCATAAAGTTAAATGTACCCAATTACACATAGTATCGAAACAAAAGTAGCGACAGCAACGACTAATGGATTGGGATAGGCATTAGACGCATTAAAGAATCGTACTTTAAATAATTTATTTAGTAAACAATATATAATTTTACCACTGACTACTTCCGTAAAAAATGTAAGTTTTTTTGAGTTCTTTAAGTATTGGAATCTAGCCCCTGTAGCATGAACACCACAATTCCATAATATCACGTTTATAAATATATATAATTATTTCCAACACACACCAATAAGCTTAGCCTCAAAGTAAACACTGTAAGGCTTGTGTTATGGGATGGTAGGGTAACAGATAGTATACATATACTGTACATATAAGAGTTAAATTTGTAGAACAAGTGTATTCGCGGGCTTGACTATTACCTCTGGAACGTATGTGAATATAGAAGGCACAGAGGCGGATTGTAGCCGCCAATTGAAATGATACTGTAAAATTGTAAATACCTTAGGGTATTATTTTGTTTTATTTATTTTACAAATTTACAATGACATTTCTATTGGCTACTATATCTATCTTGCGAGATTATGAACTGTCGAAAGATTGTGAACCGCAACATTCTGCTTACAATTTTATTTTTTTTACGCATTATTTTTCGGTAGATCATCTATCGAAGTTAAACTGTAAAACGGTCTTACAGAAGCCGTTCTGTGTTGTGTGACACAGAACTCTAAAGACACAGAACGGTCTACTGTAAGACAGTCTAATCGAGGACAGCCTTCGTACATCTGGCAGTTTAATGTGCGACAGATTGTGATTTAACAGTTTCTATTTAATAGATTGTAATCTACCTGAATTTTCAGGTTATCCAACCATTCAACCCATTATTTAATGGGTTGAATTGTAAGCAATATTATAATAGTTTACAATTTCTACAAAAAAATACAATCTCGCTAGATAGATTATAATCTATAGGTATTTAGAATTCAACGGTGACATAAATGTTTCTCTGCGTACGCGATGGGCTACCAGTGTTTATCACAAGCTTTGCCTACGTGCCTTCATTACTCGTGTGTATGTAAGTCTATATAAATGTAAGTATGTGCCCATAGACTTCCAGAAGATTGCACAGCCAATCTCAAATGGAGTCTCTGCGTCTGACTGATGTTCTTTATAGCCATTGCTCGCCCTAGTTCGGTAGCATTGCAGTATCTTACAAGGAATAATAGCTTGGAGTTCTATAATTGAAATAGGTACCAAGCTAGTCCATAATGTTCTTTGTGTATTTATTTTTAATTTTTCAGTTTGTTTAAAGTTAATAAAAACTTTTTCGAATTACCTACTATTTTTTTAATAATTGGATAGATTACTGGATAGCTGATACAAATTTATTATATATTACGGTGTGTTAAGATAAATCTGTCTATTATATATATAAAACTCAAAGGTGACTGACTGACATAGAGATCTATCAACGCACAGCCCAAACCACTGGACGGATCGGGCTGAAATTTGGCATGCAGGTAGATGTTATGACGTAGGCATCCGCTAAGAAAGGATTTTGATCAATTCTACGCCCAAGGGGATAAAATCCTTTGAAAAATTAAATAAAAACTTTGTCAATTTTAAACCGATTAGGATGAGACTTTGCATGCAGGTATAAGAAGAATCATAGATGAATGTCATTTTGTATAATACAAGCCTAAGAACAAAAACTGTAGTCTACACTTCAGCTCTACACCTAAGCGAAGCGAAGGCGGGGCGCTAGTTTTACTATAATTTCTTTAACTACTCGTATAACTCGCCACGCTTGAACGGACAGTTATTGTCACCGTCAAATTATGACCTCATTTTGATTATCGTCAAATGGTGCTGCAACCTATTATTAACTGGTAATTGAACCGAACAGTTTAAGTTAAAGTAAGTTGGCGCACTCCAAAAAGCACGACAACTTATAGTTTGTTTTGTCTTAGAATGCTGACATAACGCATTCTAATGGTTCTTTTTACTGTCTGGAGCATTCGACACCGAATATGTTGGTCAGCTTTCTCGGTAATCAACTCCGGGTTATTCATCATTTAGAT